CTGGACAATGAAATATCATATTTGAAAAACGATCGTCACTTTCACGCGTCTATAACTCCCTTGTCTTTACCGTAATATTAATATTACCATTGTGTAGCCCATTGTGGGTGCAAAACGCGTATCATTTGACGAAGTCTGCTAGAATTTTTAGAGATTTCTTTGATTTTCGGCGTCATTGCATTCTCTCCAACCTAATACTATGTAGTACTAGCACTAAATCGTTAAGTAAATAACAAATGTATTGGGTTGGGGAGAATGAGTCGGCGCCAAACTTTAAAGGGACTTTTTGCACACATAAAGCCTTCTTTAAACATACGTTTGGTTTCATCAAAAGGATCCACCATTTCTCTACTAAATGACTTTTGAGAGATTCCACAAAGCTTTTCTTTCGTGGAGTTTATGAACTTCCAAACGCAGCTGGTTAAAATGGCAAAGAGTCCGACTCATCATTTGAACAGTTTCTTTCACATAAACCTTCTTTGGTGTGTATATAAAAAAGATAGAGCACATTCAATTACTTAAGTTGCCAAATTTGCAGGAAGATCCCACCAATAGTTTTTTCTAGATGACAGTTTGTAGTTTTTGTGAAAAAATGGCTTTTTCTTGAGCGGAGGCGCTGTTTGAATTTTCTTTTAAATGTCATTTTGTAGAGAATTAGTTAACCATTCTACTGATATCAAACGCATATTATTTGACGAAGTCGAATAGAAGTTTTAGACATTTTTTTGATTTTCGGCGCCGACTCATTCTCCCCAACCCAATAAATCATTTTCCAATACTGTAATTGCTTTTATAAACTCCATCGTTGAAGAGTTAAATAAAATCAAGAACCAACCTTTTCCTTTTGTCGATTATTCTTTTTAGTGGGGATCATTATTTTTGAAAACAATTTCTTCAAACCAGATTTTTCTTTAGATCCTTGATCTTCCATTTTAGCGAATCAGAAATCAATTAAGGGAAATGACTATAAACAGAGTTCTCAAACTGCTTATCTTATCTGAAAATCAAAGAGAACTACTCTGAGGTCATGTGAATTTCGAATTAGAATTTGACTGGCATTCCGTGTCGACTCATCATTTCATTTATTCGACAAAATGGCTGCAAAGTCAAGTAAAACTTGAGCTTTTTCACTAAATCGTTCATAATAATTTCATTGTTAAAACTAGAAATGACTTAGGTAGACTTAAAGGTTTCACTTTTCGCGCTAATTCAGTCATTAACCTTCATTTTGAGCCTCTTCAACATGTACTATTGGCTTTTAAAGATTGCGGTAATTGAATTCAACTTTTAGCAACTTGAAACAAAAACACAACGTTTTTGGGACATTCACGGCAGTCTTTTTTGACAATTTGCCCATTTTTTGACCATCACAAATCTCCCAGAAATCACATCTTTTGGAAAGCAACTGACAAATTTTTGAGCTATAACAGAAAAGTCATGTTTTTAAGTTTTAAGTTTTAAGTTTTTAACAAGTTTTCGAGAACAATAACATTCAATGTTTGAGCACAAATGAGTGAAATGCTTCTCATTCACCTAAAGAATGAAGAGTTGTCAATTGTGGACTTTATAAGTATCAGATGTGTCTGTTTTTTGTGATCCAAAGATATTTATCAACACTGACACTCGCAATGTCCACTTAAGCCGAAGGACTAGGGAATACACTTACCTTTATCACAATGCCATTCATCCATCCATCCACAGTACCATTCTTTCTCACAAACATGGGCTTTCAAGTTAATGACGAGAATAGCCAAGAAAAGTAGTCAAAATCCTCATTTTTTCTCATGAATACGTGTGCTGATAAAGAAATTCTGAATCCTTTTCTTTATAAAGTCTATTTTTAAATTCTTTTAGTGAATTTAAAAGTCAATAAAGTCTAAAAAAATTTCGTTTTTTTTGTTTTCTTTTATTGAGGAATTGAGGAAAAGAATTTGATAATTCTCAAAATTCACAAACAGAATTGAAATTAATCGGCAATTTTTGAAAATTTTGAAATCAAATACATTTATCGTTTCGAAAATTTGATACAGAACATCTAAAATCGTTGTGATTTCAAATTCTGTTTGTATTTCTCGAAAATTTTTATTTGAAGGCCGGCAAAAAATCAAAAATGCGCAACCTTTGCAAAATAATGCAAACAAAGGGTCATTGACTATATATTTTGACTGTCTTGGGTCAACAACGGGTATTAATACCATTAGGGTGGTGAGAATGAAACCAGCGCTCACATATCTTTCCAAGATTGAAAGCTTCAACCAATAAGTGTTGTATACTGTTCGAAAGTCTTGAATCACCTCTACAAAATAGTGCAAAGGATTTTGAATTGAATTGATTATTGAAGACTTGGGCGACTTTTAAGTTGAGGGGTCACAAATGATCATTTTCTGGAGAATGTGTTTCTGGTAATAGCTGGTAATAGCCATGCCCGGGTTTTCCGTGAGAAAATACCGCCAACTAAAGTTATATGAAAATAGCATAAAGGAACTCTTTTTGTTTCGTCGTCTTCTAGAGCTTATGTTTTTCAAAAAAGCTTCATTTTGGGCCATTTTAGGCCTTCGCTTTTAGGCCAACATCATCTGTGTTCCTTAAGCCTGTTAGCTCGTTTGGTTTCATGAGTTCTTGCTGCCCCTACGGACCGAAATCCTTGGGATGAATCCAAAAATTCACAGCGGCTCCCTTCAGCACCCTGTTATAGGCACTTGGGATCCCATTCCGACCGACGGAGAACCCGCCATAGTGGTCAAAATGAGCCGGAACCGGGTTCACCAATTCTACCGCCGGGTTAGTTTTGGGAAGCGGTGACCACATGGCGCAGACAACGGATTGGTGACCGGATGACGCAAACTGGACGCTTCCGATTGGAAAAGTGAAAAGGGACTATATGGCCAGTCGTGCTATGCCAGATCGAGCGCGATTGTGTTCGCACAAAGGGAACACACAGCGATTCTCTTTTCTGCATTTTAAAGTTCAAAAACTTCAAATTTTTGAACAGAAAAATTGTACCCGGGGTTTTCGGGGTTGGGGAATCGATTCACAGTGTTAGTTTTAAGGTTTTCCTTGTCCCAAATCAATTATTTCAATACATTTCCCATTGAAGGATGCTTCTAACTTCTCAAGCAATATCTCATCTCTTCTTTGTAGCTGATGTTTTCCAAATAAGACTTTTTCAAACACCTCTCGAAAAGCTTTTCAGCAGAAAAGCTAAACAACAGCTTTTCCAAGAGCTCTTTTCGTGAATCGAGTTTCTCAAATCTTACACCATATATTAGGTTGAACACTCTCGGTAACAGTTCTTCATTCCACTTTTTAGAAACAAGCAATGTACTAATTAAATTATGGTTTTTTTATTCATAAGGCGAAAAGCTTAAAAGTAGTTGTCAGATTGGAAAAAGCTTCGTTTTTGGGGTTTTTTAGATGTCAATAAGTTGAGGAAATAAAAATGAAGAAAGCTAGATAGTGCGATTGGACCACTTTCTTCCACAGAAACCTATTTCGATGTTTATAGATGAAAGATAGAGCATAAAAAGCTAGGTAAGTATTCAAATTTTCAGACAAATCTGTTCAGCGTTTTTCCCTGTATGTCATTTTTAAGAATTTTTGAAAAAATGCGAATTCCGCGCAAAGGCGCTTCAGAGTGGACCAAGTTTTGTTTAAAAAGAATAGGAAACTAGGAAATAAAGAATTTTTATTCAAAGGGAATTGTGAGTGAGTCAGTGCATTGGCCACTTTTCAAAGGAAATATGCTTTACTATTTTGCTTTTTTGGGCAGGATTAATTTTCTTAATATGAATTTCAGACCTCCAAAGTTGGCCAATTCGCACTGAAAGCTTTTGTCCGCTACAATAGCTATCGGATTTCCAAGGGGTAACGTAAAAGTTCAGGTGTTTAGATGGTTCAAGTTTAAATAGGTGGTTTAGTTTTAGATCCAAAACTTTGCCTTGGTCCAATTAGGCCCATTTTAGTGTCATTCTATGGGAAATCGTACAACCAAACTAACGACACTAAAATCAACTCGATACGACACAGTTATGGACCGAAAACTAAAGCACTTGAACTTTCAAACCGTCTGAAGTTGACCTTTATCAACCGTCTGAATTTTAACCAACCAAACGTCATGAACCCGAACTACCTTAACTTGATTGATTGCTTATCATAAAAAGTGTATTGGAACTTGTCCCTGTCCAAATATAACTTTAAACAATTGCTACGATTTCGTTCAGCTCTAATGTTATGCGAGACGAGCTGGTGAAGTTCTCAATCTAGTTTATCCATGGTTTAATTCCCCAAGTTCTTTTGTAAACAAAATCATTTAGAGTTTATTTGACAAACAGCTGGAAATTTGTGACTGGTCAGTGTGAGGTAAAGATCGGGATTTTCCACTCCACTATTAACGTTCATAATGAGAGCAATCGAGGGCTCATTCTTGTCAACTAAACTTTAGTTAATTGTATATACTTGTAACTTTGATTAATAGATAAAAAGATTGTATCTAGCTTCAAAAGTAAACTCACACTTTGGCTTATATCCTTTGAAAAAAGTACGGTTTACGAGTTGGACACATGATGGGTCATTTTTCCACATTGGCGTCATATTAAGCTAAAAGTTAAAGTTTCAGTCAAACATTGAGTTAAATACTTTCTTTCCACACATTCAAACCTGTATTTTGATGAATTGGAGGAAGAGATCGTGGTCAGCTCTCGGATTGGTTGAGTATTTTTGAATTGGTTTAACGTAGCATTTTGTCTGTTTGACAATGTTTCTAAATTTGTACTCAAAAATGGGCTTCAAAATTTAAAGTAGTAGATAGTAGAGTAGTTTGCTTTAGGCATGTTTGGGAACATAGTTCCGTCCAGTTGATCTAGTCCAGTCCAGCGATTTGAGATTTCAGTCCGGTGGGCTGACTTGACTGGACTACAAAGCCTGACTTCAGCTAATGGACTGGACTAATCAAGAATTGGCGGGGTAAACCCATATCAATCATTGTACTAGTACTAGTTCTAGTCATTCCCGAAAACCCACTCGCAATCGGTGGAATTCGGCAAGCTAAACCAACAACTTTCCCACGCGTCAGAATAAGCGGTCGCATTTTTCGTGTTCACCCAAAAGAGCGGAACTGAAAAAGTAGTCTAGATTTTTCGATAAACAATCTTACGAGGCAAATCGTTGGTGGCATCAGTTCCATTCAAAAACAAATCCTTTCCAGTCACCGGGTTTGAGATAATTCCTACCCAAGCGACATTAATGTTTTTGCCTTCAACAGTGGCTAAATATTTTGTAATTAAATTAAAAACAGTTTACAAACATAGAAGTCATATTGTTATCAAAATATCACAAACCAATTAATGCTTTCCGAACATCATCGATCGATTGTTTGTTTTTGGGTTGAAAAAGGTGGCCACCAATCCTCTTACAGTGAGTTTCCGCTTCACAAAAGGTTAGATCTAAAGCAAGTTCGTTTTTTCTTTCTCAGAATTGAACTAAGAACCTAGAACTCTAAAACAATCGGTGTTCCTTGTATCAAATGTCCTTGAAAACCCTCCTTGTCAGGATTAAAACAAACTTTTTTTTAACAAAGCGACGCAGAGGTTTTGAGATGGAACAGCGATCGATGAAGGAGGGCAAAGGGCTGATTTTCCATGAAAATAGCTTAAGAAAACTAGCAATATCAGATAGATCATCAGAAAATTGGATTTGCGCGATTTAGTCTATCCAAATGTGCTTTCAAGAGCTTGTTTTTCAACGTGGATGTTTTTAAACCGATCAAGCTTTGTTATTCAAAAATATGGAACATTTGATGATCTTTGTGGTCAATTTGGCTCTTTTTTTCCATTGAAATGTGTGTTTTGCGTTGTCTTTTTTGGTAAAAAATGGGATGTTTTTCCGGATAAAAGCTCGAAATCTAGGCTGAGAATTCGGATTGAAAAATGTGATTTTTATCGAGAGCTGTAATTCTTTGGCAAGTTTTTCATTATTTAAACTATCAATGTGCCAAACTACTAGTTTTCTAGAAAGTGAACTTATCGGTTCAAGAGGTTTTTTTAAAAAATTCAATAATTTTCCTTTAAATGACCTTGTGAAATCGGTTGGAAAACTAAAAAAGATCATTTTCGTGTAGAACAAATCTGGGCTCCGAAAAAAGATATAGAGATTGGTAACAAGTACTTGTATTGGGTTGGTGAATTGAAAACTGCCGGCTATTGTCATATGTCACAGTTTGAGCACTTTCTTCAAAAGAAACCCATTTTGGCGTTAATGGAAAAGTTGTAGAGAATCAAAAATTAAGCTTATATCCAAATTTTCAGAACGATTCAAAAACTGGTTTTCAAGAAATGCCAAATTTACGAATTCTCACAAAACTTGCATTTTAAGCGAAACTGCTAAGTGTATCTTTTTGGAAATTTGGCTATAAGCCTAATTTTTGGTTCTCCACAACTTTTCTATTGACACCAAAGTCGGTTTCTTTTGAAGAAAGTGCTCAAACTGGGACATCTCCAGTCCTCGATTTTTGATTCTCACACTTGTCTCACACACAAACCAAAATCCTACTACGAAAGAGGAATCCCCAAATTGCCTGTAAAATGCGCAGAAGTCGTCAATAATAATGGAAATTATTTGGAATGAATTGATGGTTTTATGTTGAATAAATTTTATTTCAAAGTCCGGCAGTTTTCAATTCAGCAACCCAATAGATAAAATACAATTGTTAAGTAATATTGCTTTTTATATAATGAATATTATACTTCTAAATATATCCATATTTCTATTTTTATCTATGTTTATTTCTCCGATATTTTGTCTTGACTAAAATGGCAAGAAATCCGCCAACTTGTTGTCTCATCGTTCTTGGCCTCTTTCGCTTTAAACTTCTCATTCTTTTATGCATAAAGCTCCCCAGATTCATAAGCGGTTTCTTTTTTATACATAAAATATCTACATTTACCTCAAGCTATTCATGATGATGAAGAAGATCGAATGGTTTTCATGATTTTCAAAGAGAACATTGATAATGGAAATGGAACTGAATATAGAAATAGAAACGGAAATTTAACTCAATTCCTCTCAACTGACAATTAGTTTTTAACCTTTTTATAGCTAACAGAAGAGCTTTTGTTTTGTAGCTTTTGTTTTAGAAATTTCGGGCATCTACAATAATTTTGTGTATAACTTTTTTCCAATAAGAACTGCCAGAATTTGAAATCAACTTCCTAGAGTTTTGAGAGAGTCAAATAGTCTTGAAATCTTGAAAATATCTATAGTCTCTTGATCTATATTTTGATCTTGAAGTTCTAGTGGATTCTTGACTTTATCTGTGCTACCATATATTACATACATCACAGAGTGTGCCATAATTGTCGCAACAAGATGTCGCAAAGTCAATTTCGATAACTACCTGGCTCTTCTCAAGGATGAACTCTTGCCCTGGGCTCGTAAACATTTTGAAAATCGCATTTGGACTTATCATCAAGATGGCGCACCGGCCCACAAATCCAAGAAAGTCCA